AAGAGAAAATTCAATCAATGATGAAAAAATTAATAGAATAAGTGCATTTAGCAAAGTTATAGGATACAAGGCCAATATACAAAAATCAGTTGTGTTTTTATATACTAGCAATGAGTAATTAAAAAATAAAATAAAAATTATCAGTTATAATAGCATCCAAAAACATGAAATACTTATTAAACAACATATGCTGAAAACCTATATGCTGAAAACTATAAAAACTTGCTGAGAAAATTTAGAGACAACCTAAATAAATGGAGAACTATATCATATTCATAGATTGGAAAACTCAATATTATTAAGATGTAAATTTCCCCCAAATTGGTCTATAGATTCAATGTAATCCCAATCAGGATTTTTTATAGAAATTGGCAAGCTGATTCGAAAATTTATAAGGAAATGCAAAGTAGCTAGAATAGCCAAAACGGTTTTGAAAAAGAGGAACAAAATTGGAAGACTTAAGCTGCCTAATTTCAAGATTTACTATAAAGCTACAGCCATCAAGAGAGTATAGTATTGGCATAAAATTAAATATATAGACCAATAGAACAGAAGAGAGAGTTGGGAAATAGACCCACATTTATATGGTCAATTGAATTTTGACAATACCAAGATAACTCAGTGGGGATAATAAATGGTGTTGGAACAATGGAAAATTCATATAAAAAAATAAACCTTGAACCTTACCTCTCTTACATAAAAATTAAATTGGAATGGAGTATAGTCCCAAACATAAAAGCTAAAACTATAAATCTCTGGATATAAACATAAGAGAAAATGTTTGCAACCTTGGGGTAGGCAAATATATCTTAGGACATAAAAAGCATTGGCCATAAAAGAAAAAAAGTTGATAAATTGGACATTATCAAAATTAAATCTTCTCTTCAAAAGACACCACTAATAAAATGAAAATGCAAAACATACTAAAATAATGCTTTTGTGATACATAAATATGATAAAGAACTGTGTCTAGATACAAAGAATTATTACAATCTAATAATAAGAGTATAAGTTAAAAGTAACAGATTTTAACTACAAAATGGGCAAAAGATTTGGACACTTTCCAAAGGAAGATATGTGAGTGGCTAATAAGTACAGGAAAAGATGTTCACCATCATTAATCAGCAAAGAGATACAAATTAAAACCACCATGAGGCTGGGCCCCATGGCTCATGCCTATAACCTCAGCACTTTGGGAGACTGAGGCTGGAGGATCACTTGAGGCCAGGAGTTTGAGACCAGCCTTGGCAACATATCGAGACCCTTTCTCCACACAAAAAAATTATCCAGGTGTGGTGGCATGTGCCTATAGTCCCAGTTACTTAGGAAGCTGAGATAAGAGGATCCCAGGAGCCCAGAGTTTGAAGTTACAGTGAGCTATGATCACATTGCTGCACTCCAACCAGGGCTACAGAGCAGGACCCTGTCTCTAAAAACCACCATGAGATGCCACTACACATTCACTAGACTGAATCAAATTAAAAAGACTGACAATAGCAAGTGTTAGCAAGGATGTAGAACAACTGAAGCTCTCATATATTGCTGACAGAATATACAATCGTAACTTTAGAATAAAGTTTGGTAGCCTCCCATATAAATTTAAATATACCCTTGTGGCATACACACCAACTCCACCTTTTAGGTATTTATCCATGAGAAGTGAAAAATTATATTCACATAAAAACTTGGAGGTGAATATTGGCACTGGCTTTATTTATAATTGTCCCAAACTGAAAACACTTACATTAATCATTGAATGTATCCTCTAGACGTGTTTGGCAGACAGCCTCTAGCGATCAGTTCCTTTGGTGTCAGGTGCAGAGAGTAACCTATGTCGAGGTTATGTTCTTCTCAGGGTAGTCCACTTCTACTGACTGAGCGAGGAGGGGTATAAAGACCTGGCCATGTTGTTTCTATGCAGGACATTCTCATGGCTAATACTTGTTCCAGAGCTCTCCACCAAGTTGGCTGATGATGTTGTACCTGGATTGCAGTTCAACAGCCTCCGCTCAATTCTGTGTCCACTCCCTTCCTTTCACATGTGTGGATCCCTATGATGCCCTTATATTCAAAACACCATTTCACTGTCTGTTTCTAGAAAACCCAGACTATGATGGGGACCCAACCCAAACTGGTCCTCCCTTGTCAAAAGCTACTTTCCATTAGTATTAGGTCGTCTTCTTTCATTTTTTCCAGTCCAGGCCAATTGATTACTCAGTTAAGAATAAACTAAAAATCTATGAAAGTATTTAATAGAAATCCAAATCAGCAGGGGGGCGCTGTGCAAAGATATATGAAGAAATGCAGTTCTGACACTTTTCAGACCTGCCAGGATTGAATATTTTATGGTTTCATCAGTAAATTTATTTTCATATTGCTGTTTGTAAATAAAGCCAGAAATGTTTCCATAGTGCTTTTCATGGAAACTAGAGGGAGATTTCATGAGTGATCTGTATACGACAATGTATAAAAGCTGAAACTACCATCCTACCTCTGTCCCTGCTTTTTTTTTTTTTTTTCTGTCCTGGAAAAACAGAAGTCTTTAACTACTTCTATGGAAGAAGAGGAAATCTGGTATACTTTTATTTATTAGCCCTAAAGTCTCTGAACATGGCTAAATGAAATATAAATGATTGTATAAAAACTGCAGTTTATTTAAGACAATTTTTTCCTTGCAAGCTAGCTCATAGAAATCTTGTGATTTACTTGCAGCTAAACCTCATATGATTAATAGAGGCCAATGATTAAAGGATTTATTGATATTTCTTCTTGTTCTCCATATTTGTTGGACTGTTCTGTTCCCTTATCTCTATTTGTGGGACTTGAATAGCAGCAGGGTCTGCCTCTCATATACAAAGCAGGGACAAAATGTATTCTTGCTGCTTAATAAATGTTCATAATGCCATATAATAAGCTTCTCTATGCAGTCCCTGGGAAAAGCAGATATCTCTTAATCTCGTGTTCCTGGGCTCTTGGCCTCATAGGCCCTATGGCTATGTAGGGACACACCAATAAGATTCAAAGATTTTAGGCCAGGCATATAGGCTGGCACTCTCCCATATCTGTGTACTGAGGTCATGGCTGCCACCAAAGGGTGCAAGTGCTTCTCACATGTACATGAGAAGTGACACATACCAGCTATAGGAAGGCATAGAATTGCATTTCCTTTCCTAGCAGTGGTATACCCTTAACGGGGTGGGGAACCTGCAACCTTGGGGCCACATGTGGCCTTCTGGATCTTGAGTGTGGCCTTTTGACCAAATCCAAATTTTACAGAACAGATCCTTTTAATAAACGGATTTTATTCTGTGAAGTTTGGATTCAGTTGAGGGGCTGTGCATGGGGATCTGGAAGGCCACATGTGGCCTTGAGGCCGCAGGTTCCCACCCCTTTTGGAGCTTGACAAAAGGCAGGTTCCCTGGCTCTAAACTCAAAAGCTCTGAATTCAACAGATCTGGTGTAGAGCCCAGTAACACGTGCTTTAGGAGTTTTTAATATTGATTATTAAAACTCATTTGGCTATAGTTTTTGTGGCTGGACTAAATGAACAGTAAGGTATCTTTGTTCCCCAAGAGTCTATGAACCAATGTGCTATTCTACAGTATCTGCCCTAATTCCCTCAGCCAGAGGGAATTATCCATTCACTTGTATAGCAAACCGTATGCACAGGCAAAACATTCCAAAGAAACATGGAAAAAAGTCTCCTTCTCTCCCCAGCATCCGGTTACCCAGTTCTGTTCCCGGGTGGCATCTATAATTACAGTTTCTTCCCTATCCTTCCGAAGATACTCTATGGAAGTATATTTACAAATGTAAGTATAAACACATATATTTTCTTCCCACAAATGATAACACACACAAAATTCTGCACCTCGCTTTTTTTTTTAGTCCTTTACTTAGTATAGGTTGCAAATCTTTTCACATCAGTACATAGAGATCATCCTAATTTTTTAATAAGCTAGATAGCATTCCATGGTATTGATGTACTATAATTTATTTGAACAGTCCTCTAGCCATAGATATTTGCTTCCAATCTTTGCTGGCACAAATAATGTAGCAATGGATGACCTTGTCCTCGTTTCATTTCACATCGGTGTCAGTGTATTTGTCGGATAAATTCCAGAAGTGGAATCATTGAGTCCAGGACCATATATATAAATTTGTTATTTTGAGAGATATTGCCACATTGGCCTCCATGGAGGTTTTAGATTTTTGCTTATCTGACAGGTAGAAAATGCTGCCTCCTATATTTGATTTGCAGTTAAGCGAGCTTGAATATCTTTCCATGTGCCTTGGGGACATTGCATTTAGTTTCCTGTGGACTCTCTTCACATCCTTTGAGATGAAGAGACATTAATAGTTACTGATTTCTTATTTCTTTGTAAAAGGTAGAGCCTGTGTGGGGTCCTGACCAATGACCTTGATGCTGGCATCAACACACACACACACACACACACACACACACACACACACACACACACACGCCGCTGTACGTAGATTTATTAATCCCGGCATAGAATCTTGGCTTTCCTACTTGCTGTGTGACCTTAGACAAGTTACTTAACCTCTCGGGGCCACAGTGTCCAAGTACCGGGCGTATGGACACGGTGCAGGACCGCATCTTTTAAGACCCGGGATCCGACTTGGACGTGAGTCAACAAAACACAGGACGGGTTTCTCCGCGGGGAAATCTCGCTTAGGCGCAGAGGCCCCGGACGTAGCAACCCAACGACGGGGTCGGAAAGAGGTGCCAGAGGAGCCAGGGCTGGCTCCTTAAGTCCCTGGCTCTCCCTTTGGAGAGAGCTGCAACGTAGGAATTAAAAGAAACGAGCAAGGAGGGAGCCACTTTCCGCGGCGAGATCCGCCCCCGCGGCGGCTCCCTCCCTCCGAGGCGCCCTCCCCCAGCCCCGGCAGCGCCGCGCCGGCCCAGGCAGCCAGACGCGGCGGGTGCGGCGGCCCGGGGTGGGCGGAGGCGGGGGGGGCGCGGTCACGTGAGCCGGGCCAGCTGTTGCGGGGGGCGGCGGGCCGGCAGCCGGAGTCTGGGGAGGGGGAAGCGCCGGCGGCCGCCTCCGCCACTGCAGCTGCAGCCCGATGTCGCCGCAGTGATCGGGCCCCGCAGACCCGCAGCCTCAGTACCGCAGCGCGGAGCCGGAGCCCGCGGGCCCGCAGGTGAGCCGCGGCGGCCGCGCGCGGGAGGGCAGGGTTCGCGGCGCGGCTTCCCCCCGCGGGCTCCCCCCAAGCGCCTTCGCCGCCCCGCGCCGCGCGTCCTCCGCGGTCCCCCGCGCCCGCGGCTGGCGCTGGCCGCGCCCGGCGGGCTGGGGGCTGTGGGGCGTCGGAGGAGAGCTGGCCTGGGGCCGGGTGGCGCGGGCTCGCGGGCTGCGGGGGTGCAGGAGAGGGACGCCCCACCCGGGGCGCAGGCACTGCCGCCTGCTCGGAACCTGCGCCCGCTCTCCACACCCCTCTCCCATCCTTTCCCCACTTCCTTTTAACTCTTACAACCCCCACCCCCGCTGCTTTCCCCGTGTTTCCTTTTCCCGACGGCCAAGTTGCTGCCCGCTGGGGTGTGTGCCTGCGCGCCCCCACGCCGCCGCCGCTCGGGCCGCTCCGGGGTCGCGGCTGGCCAGCCTGGCACCTCCGGGAGGCAACGCACCTGCCGCGCGGGCCGGCTCGCGGCGGACGCGGCTGCCTGGCGGGGCCTCTGCCCTCGGCCCGGCTCTGCCCCGCGCCCCACCCGGTCCGCGTCGTGCCCCGGGGGCTGCCCCCCCCCCGCCAACGCCCCGCGCGCGCGGGATGTTGCTCCCGTCTACGCGCCCCGCGCGCGTGGGTCTTGATACAACTTCCCCGAGCTGCGCCCGGGGCATTCTCTGGGGTTTTAGGGCAGGTTAACGCGATGGAGCCGGGGAACTTACTGATAAAACGCGGTCGCGTGTTTCTGATTGCCTGCCTCAGTTTGCCTTGTCTGTTGGGGCGCCAGTTACTTGGCCACATCACTCCCGAGGGCAGAGACGAGTGTGATCTGCAAAGCAAGGAGCGGCGCTTAAACTTTAGAGAATTGCGGAGAACTCGGACTTAGGGATATAAATGTCCTTTAAAGCATCTAAGGAAACTGTCGTTTGTCGTGACTCAAAGCTGACCTTGTAGGGTTCTGTTAAATGATACGGCTTTTCCGTGCAATTCTAGCTTGCTGCAAGTGCCTTGAATTAATGCTCGTGTCCAGCATCCTGGTGAAGGGTGTGTGTGTGCGTGTGTGTGTGCAGCGTTCCAGGCATCAGTTGCAGAGGAAACCTGTGTTAATTCAAAATGGCAGCGTGAAGAATCAGGCCAGGCGGAAGCAGCACAGACCACAGCTAACACTGGCTGCCCCCTGACTTGTACATTAGCGACAGGGAGGGCTCTGCTGGGTGTCAGGCATGGAGTGGTTCTCGGAGCTGGCTAGATTTTAGGGTGCAGCAGGGACCTGGGGGATGTTAAATGAGAAGTTTGGGGAGCTGTAATTATTTTCCCTAACCTATCACAAGCTTATTCAAAACCTAATTAAAGTGGACACGTAGGAACTACATTAATTGGGTAATGGGCTGGTGGGAGGGGGGAAGGAGGGCGGGTATATACATATATAATGAGAGAGACGTGCACCGTCTGGGGGATGGTCATGCTTGAGGCTCAACTTGTGGGGGGAGGGGGACAAAGGCATTATTTGAAACCTTAAAATTTGTACCCCCATAATATGCTGAAATTAAAAAAAAACCCTAATTAAAACTCTTGCAATTTCGATCTCATTTTCTCCTGGCTCAACTGACTCTGTGGCTGCTGGTGTCTGTTTGGTGCACAACTTCTAGTGGCTTTGTACTTACAAGTGGCTCTTAAAAGAGACAGGTGTATAGCGTAAACATCATCCAAGAACAGTGCACACAACAAATACCAGGTTCTTGGAGCAAGTTTCGTTGGCAGAACTGATTGATTCAGCAGCATGAGCAAGCAGCCCGGGCACCAGGGAATGGCAAATTCTTGAAAGGTGACTCATTTTAGGATTTTGTTTAAAAAAAAAAAACAGCCTTTCTTTCCCTTTTCACTGTCGTGCTGCCAGCCATCTTGTCTTTTAGGGAGGAGGAGATGCTGGAGGAGGCAAGTGCTTGGGGAATAATGGAGTAGAGGAAGATGAGGGCTAAGGCCAGGAGTGGCAGGGCTAGAGGCTGCCTGAGACTCCCTTTTTACAGCGGGAAGGCTGAGCACAGCAGGAGGAATGCAGCACCAAGGTCATGTCACTGGCTGGCAACTGGCAGTGAGGACTCCTATCCAGGTCCCATAACTCCCCAGCTCAGGATTCTACACGCCACCTTTCAAAGCCTGGGGGAAAAGGGCAAACCTGTCATTAGGATGGTAAACACTTTGAGCAACAGGAAACCAAACTCTAACATGAGTTTAAAAATCTATGGACATTTAAAGTCACGACTATACCTTAGTTTCCCCATTCAGACCCTTTTAACCTCTTAAGGTGTGTACACCTCATGTTCGTGTTTTCCAGTGATGAGACTGCTTCTGTATTTAAGAGCCAAAAACATAATGTTAGTCAAAATCTTTGCGGTGAGAAGCACTCTCTTTGATTAAAAATTTAGTTGTTTATGTTTGTGGAGAACTATTAGGCCAGTTTCCTTTAAAGAGGAACCAAAGTGGGCCATGTTGCTCAATTTTTTTTGAATGTTTCTAATTATAAGTAAAAATGGATAACAAGCCTATTTAAAAATAACTTTGAAGCAGCACTGAAGACAGAGGCTTTTTCAATAATTTGGCTTTGAATGTTCTGAGTCATGATTTAGTGGCCCCAGATCTACTACGGCAGAACTAAAAATGGTGCATGGGTTAGTCTGTGCCGAGGTGGTGAGGATATGGAAAATGTTTCTCCCGGACTTTCTGCACCTTCTCAGTCAGTGCTATGCAGAGGGAGAAGGTGGCAGGAGGCAGGGAACAGGGAGAATGATTTGAGGCAGTGCAGCAGATAGCAGCTCAGTACGGGTGGATGATGTTGAGGTGAAGACTGATGCTGATGCAACATGCCATTTTAAAAAATAAACTTGCATTGGAGGTTGAATGCGAAGGTATGTCAAAGAAATTTAAGCTGATAAGTTTTAAAAATACATAAACACCTGCAATTTATGTTTGTTGAAGAACAATAAAAATACAGATAAGCAAAAGTTGTGGGGTTTTTTTGTTTTTTTTGAGACAGTCTCGCTTTGTTGCCTAGGCTAGAATGAGTGCCGTGGCGTCAGCCTAGCTCACAGCAACCTCAAACTCCTGGGCTCAAGCAATCCTTCTGCCTCAGCCTCCCGAGTAGCTGGGACTACAGGCATGCGCCACCATGCCCGGCTAATTTTTTCTATATATATTATTTGGCCAATTAATTTGTTTCTATTTATAGTAGAGACGGGGTCTCGCTCTTGCTCAGGCTGGTTTCGAACTCCTGACCTCGAGCAATCCGCCTGCCTCGGCCTCCCAGAGAGCTAGGATTACAGGCGTGAGCCACCACGCCCAGCCAAAAGTTGTGGGTTTTTTTTTTAATCACTATTTTTAGTTTCATTGGAGTGAGAGTCTAGGTATGTACAATCTAATTTGGTAGCCACTAGCCACATGTGGCTGGTTCAAATCAATATGTGTCATGAGTGTGAAATACACATCCAATAAAAATAATTTAATGTAAAAAAGAATGTAAAATATCTCAATAATCTTTATGTTGATTTCATATTGAAGTAATATGTCAGATATACTATTTGGTTAAATAAACTATTATTAAAAATAGTTTTGAGGCCAGGCGCAGTGGCTCACGCCTGTAATCCCAGCACTCTGGGAGGCCGAGGCAGGCGGATTGCTCGAGGTCAGGAGTTGGAAACCAGCCTGAGCAAGAGCGAGACCCCGTCTCTACTATAAATAGAAAGAAATTAATTGGCCAACTAATACATATAGAAAAAACTAGCCGGGCATGGTGGCGCATGCCTGTAGTCTCAGTTACTCAGGAGGCTGAGGCAGCAGAATTGCTTGAGCCCAGGAGTTTGAGGTTGCTGTGAGCTAGGCTGATGCCACGGCACTCACTCTAGCCTGGGCAACAAAATGAGACTCTGTCTCAAAAAAAAATAGTTTTGTAGTTTCTGTATTTTAAACATGGCTAGTAGAAAATATAAAATTGCATATGTGGTTTGCGTCTGTCTTGCTGTTATATGTCTTTCAGGCTGTGTGGGTCTAGGTCATTAATAGGAAGTGGAGGGTGTCTGAGGCTTGGGATGATGTTTGAGGAACCAGACATGTAAGGAGAAACTGGAATAGAAACTGGAAGGGGGCAGGGGGATGGACAGAGAGGGACCGGAAAGATCAGGGACACGGTACATGGAGAAGGGGAGTATATTATGGGTTTGTACTCCTGGGTTATGAGACTTTATGAAGCAGACTAAGCAGACCATGTGGTGATCCAGGATTTGGAGTTGGAGGTATCAGGGTTGGTGGGGGTTATGGTGGTGGAACTTCATCTAGGATGGAGAAAGGGCAAGGCTGATGCAACTGCCTAGTGTATTGGAAAGTATCTTCCCCACTCTGACATGTCTATGTTCATACAGCAAAATGAGATAAATGCACCCCTCTGCAGAGAGAGGGCCCCAGGTTCTGGTTCCACCTCTAAATAGGACAGTGGCCTTAAGGACGTCACTGTTAGTCTCCTTTTTCCAATGGGATGAACAAGAGCTGTCCACCAGCTTCACTAGGCGATTCCTGTGGGATGAGGTATGACATATTAGAAAACACAGGGGGTTATTAGAATTTACATTCATTTATTAAAACTACACTGAGATAATTTTTACTTGTACACTTGTAAATAGCAAGCATAAAAGACCAGCCTTCCTCTGGCTCTACCAATATAATGCTCTTACTGATTTCATTTTTGTATTGACTTTAATGAAATTCTTGCTGGCTGAACATCTGAATGAGTGGCTACATTCAAGGATGCATTGCATACATCTTCTTATGTGAAAGCAACACACATGAAAGCTGTAGACATTTTGATTTAAAGGGCCATTACATTTAGTCCCCTATGTCTCTATATTAGGATTTTCCCTGCAGCTGGACAAAAATTGCATGTTTGTCAACGATTCTGTTTGGTACCTTCTCACATCCTTTCTTCTCTCATTTCC